AACAAAGAAAGGTGTCTGACTGTCCCAGGTGGGGGAGGGGGGTCGTGGTGTAGGCTCTTGCGATGTTTGTGTAAACATGGTCAAGAGTTTTGTTTTCCTCTTGTATTGCCAGGAAACATGCTGGTGAAATTTAGGGAGCACTGTCTTTAAGTTTGAGTGATTAAAATCACCTGCAACTATAAATGCAGCTCCGGGTTGAGCAGTCTGTTGTTTACTGATAGCGTGTAAAGTTCCTTCATAGCAGCTTTTGCATCGGCACCAGGGGGATGTAGGCTGCAGTTACAATAGTGGAGCTGAGCTCCCTTGGCTGATAGAAAGGTCTACATTTAACCATGAGAAACTCAATGTTAGCTGAGCAGTGTCTCCCAATAATGACAGAGTCTGTACACCAAGCTTTGTTAATATAGATGCACAGCCCTCCTCCTCTGGTCTTACTCTGGTCTCCTCTCTGCTGTTCTGTCTGCTAGGAGTGTGTGGCGACCGGCTAGCTTGATAGCATCGTCCGTACTCCGTTGTTTAGCCATGTTCCGTGAAGATCATGACATTACAGTCCATAAGTCTCTTACTGTGGATGATGCGAAGTCGTAACTCGTCCATTTTGTTCACCAAAGACCGCACATTAGCGAGGAAAATGCTTGTAACGGAGACGGTGCGGTGTTAGCTTTAGCTTAGCTCTTATACCTCCGCGCTTCCCCGCCTTTGTTTTACGGTCTCGACGCCGCCTGCGAGCACTTCCGCCCGGCCGGGTAGAGTGCGTAGCCTCGGGTGTTTTGGCGATCTCGGGTATGAGTCGAAGATGTTGATTAGATCGTCAGGGAAGTGTATTCCAAAATCCAAAAGTTCCTGTCGGGTGTCGGATGTTAAGGCGAGACTGTTCCGTAAGAACAGACCCGAAATTAACAATAAAATTACTGCAAAATTGCAAATCTGAGAGAGACGCTGGGCCTCGCGATGCGCTCACGCCGCCATCTTGGTTTGTAGGTAAACTAGCATTGCTTCCTCCTCTTCAAGTGTTGTCTGCTGACACCAGAGGATACCCTCTCCAACAAGATGGACTCCAGCATTCGAGACAAACCCTTTCCTCCTCTGCTTACATAGGAACTCGGCTCCTGCAACCAGAAGACCCTATAGAGCAGCGCTCTGGTCGAAGATCTGAATCCCGTTACCCTCCTCTTACATCTGCCATGAAGGAAACCTGCCTGAATCTGTTGATTTAACATTCAACAGAGTGACGATCTAACCAACTTTGCAACGATCACCAGGAGTTACCCCAAGTAAGAGCTTTGGTCTGGGCAGAAATAGTTTCAGAAATAGTTATGTTTCTTTTATAACCACTGATAATTATACATCATTGTTGACGAGACGTCACATTCTGTTTGTTATCTGTTGTAAGCTGCTGCATTTTTTTTATTGTAATGAACTGCTGTGTTCACCTATGTGTGTAATGCTATGCTAGTTTACCTTCAGTCAACGACTTTCACAATCAGAAAGACCAGTGTACCCGCCGTTGAATCAAAGTCTGGCCACTGGCTTTCTGGTGTTTAAGTAACAGTTACTGAACTCAGCTCAGAGAGCTCAAACTATTTCAAAAGGCAGCCACACGGCTTCCTTTGTTGTCCACCATTTTGTCACCATGTGACGAAGCCACATGGTGCATTGTCTCTCTCCACCATCTTGTTTTCTATCTCTCTCTCTCTCATCTACACACACACACACACACACACACACACACACACACACACACCTCATTCACAAGACTTGCTTGATAATGTTTGTTGCTTAGATTAGTTTATAATAGTTATTTGTTTAATTGAGTTCATTGATTTTGGATTGATGTTGCTTTGTTTAATAAATTCTTATAATTTAAGAGAGCAGTTGTTTGTGACTGGTATTACATTGTGATATAAGCTGGGTGTGGGGCTTTGTGTATGGATTTCACGCCTTCAATTTATTAAATATAGTTATTAATTATTAATAATATTAGTAATTAAGTAACTAATTTGAGACTGATTTTGGTTATATTTCCCTGGTTTCAGGGTGGTGCCCCAATACTGATTAAACATAGTTTAATCATATTTTATTTGTATTATTAATAATTAAATATTAATTAATTAAAGAATATAACCAAAGTTGACTTGATACAACCCCAACACTTCCAAAAAAGGGCACATAACGCAGGGCTCGACATGATAAATGGCCCTCTGGCCCGGATGAAAGATTGACAGAGTCCAGCTGATTGCACGTTCAGCTGGCGGCTTCACTGCTGTCACTCCCGCGGGCGCGCTCGCTACACTGGAGTTGTACACTCACACACAGATTTTAGCACAGGTTTTCTCTACTAAAACACACGTTTGGTAAAACGGTTTTAAAAATCAGATCCCGACAAAAGCTATCTTACATCAGAATTCAAATTTAAAAAATCACCAGAAAAGTTGAGAGTGACAGCAGGGCATGACGAAAACAGAAGGGAGAAAAGTTTGAGCCACAGTGACAGACAGCTGGAGGAGCTGGAACACATTAAAGTTAAAGACAAGATCCTGGTAAGGTTATTCACAAAGCATCTTAGCCCTTAAGAGAGCTCCTAAAGTAAAGATCTAAGGATGACGAGTTTCTCACAGAGAAGAAAGAAGGAGGATTCCAGATCTATCACAGCCTCATTAATATCAGATTAAGTAGACCCTTACAGTTAGCAGCATGGTGAATAAACATGAGCACATAAATACAAGAAAAATACACAATATTTTTATAATTAGAGCTCAATTTATTTGATAAAAGTTGTAATTGACTTTTGCATCAGAATGGTTCAAGAGTAAATTGGTGACTGTTATTTTTCGAATCAAAAGTAATGTTCCTGGGCCAGTGGTTACAATGGTCGGGCCAGTGATATATATATCACTGAAATATATATATATATTTTTAGACAGTGGAGTTTCAGTTTTATAGGCTACATTTATAAACTTTAATACGATAAATATCGAGTCATATCGAATATCGACATAGGCAAAAAAATCATGATATCAATTTAGGCCATATCGCCCAGCACTAGGCATGATCAAATACAGGATCAGAGTGGATTCAGAACAAGAAACTTCACACACATGTTTTGAGGAGCTCTGAGACTTATTTAAACTGAAGAAAAGGAGGAGGAGGATATGGACCTTTAACACAGGACAGAGAAGAAGAATCAAACTGGAACTCAAATATGACCACCTGATTCTTTTTTCAGTTTAATTTTCCTCTCAGAGCTTGAAACTTTAATCAAAACTCAAAAACATCAGCTGCATTTCAGCTACTTTCATATTGGTAAATGCATTTTTTAAGACCAGATGACAACAAGCAAACTATTTAATTTAGGATGGGGCGCTGGTAGCCTAGCGTTTGGTGCACACTATGTACAGAGGCTTAAGCCCTTGAGAGCAGGCAGTGCGGGTTCGAATCCAACCTGTGGCTCCTTTCCCCACGCTTTCTCTCTGTCCACTGTCCTATCTCTAAAATAGAGGCATAAAAAGCCCCCAAAAAATCCTTTAAAAAAAGAAATGAATTGAGGGTTTAAAAAAGGAGAATAAGAAACTTGAGTACAAAGTTTGAACAGTTAATCTGTACTGTATTGCTTTTTAAAAAAGCTGACTAACAGACAGCATGCGAGCGTTGGATAGTGTTGGATATCGCGGGGCAGACGTCAGAGCTAAAACGGCGCGCTGCGTTGCTTTCAGGCTCTAAGGACGCTCCAGGAGTAAAGAGCGTGCTGGCCGGTGTGGCATGCTGTTAGGACGAGCTGTAAGAAGTAATGAGAATGAGAGAAGGTCTGTGGCTTCCTTTCATAATGACGGGGCGTGTTCTTTAGAGGAGGCGGAGATAGTCAACATTACAGTCTGAGGTTTTCTGTGACTAAAACAGAGAAGCAATAACCAGAGTGAACTGAAGAGCAGCATCATGATTACTTTCTTCTGTTTCACCTTCAGTGTTTTTCTCTTCTCAGGTAATCTAATGAAAAGTCTGTTTACACATTTGTTGTTCTTCATTTCTGTTCATCCATACAGCTGCAGCCTTTTACTGATCATGACTGTGCGCTGTTGCTTTTCCCACAGGTTCGTCCCTCAGCCAAATAGTCGAGCAGAAGCCGACGCACATGTTCAGCAAACCGGGAGAAAAACCCCAAATCAACTGTAAACATGAAATCAAGGACTACAACCGAATGCTCTGGTACAAACAGTTAAAGAACAGACAGATCATAACTTTGCTCCTCAATACAAAAACCTGCTGATACTGTTTTTATTTCATCTCAGCGCTGCACTCCACAGCCCCTTACAGCTGTACCACGACTAACTAATCCAGATCTGATATAACAGGAGGAGGTTTCGTATCAGCAGCAGTACTTCTGCGTTTGTTACACTTTCAGGACTTGTCATCATCTCTAAAATTCTCACACATTTCAGTCAAGAAAATTACAGAAATATAACCCTTTGTTTTTGTGGTGATTGGACATTTCTGTGTATTTTTCCTTGTTTGGTGCTTGTGTTTTTTTTCTTTCAGAGGCTGGGTGTGGCTTATTGGCTGCTGGAGCTCTCTGCAATCACTCACCTGTTCGTCATCTGTAATCACCGGCTGCAGCATTTATACCCTGGTTCAACTCTCCCAAGCTGCCTGATTATTTCCGCCTACACCATGGCAGATCGGCTTCTCAGTATCAGTAGACTTTTTTGTGCTTTGGATACCTGTCACTAATTATCCCTTGTCTTCTTTTTTCCCCAGTACCTCCAACCATCGAGCTCCAGCGCCTCACCACCCAGCCTCTCATTCAAGCCTCACCCGCCTTCACCAGCCTCACTGCAATAAATACCCCTTATCCACCACCCTGTTTTCCGGTCATGCTTTTGGGTCCACTTAAAAACCTTTAAGATCATAACAGTTTTAAATGAGATTTAAAGGCATGCCTGGTGTTAAACACGTTCCTTGAGCTTTCCATTCCAGCCAAATTAGTGGAAAGATTTTTTCTCAATGCAGACCAAAGCAAAACAACAACCAACTTTCCATTAGCTTTGTCACCACCTGTGTTTTTGAGGGTCTCTTCACCTCTAAATACACATACAAGAATATTGTATAAACTGGTAACAGTGAAATAACTGCATGCACTGCCTTAATTGCACACATAAGTTGTCATGACTGAAAAGACGACACTTTCAGCAGAATTAAAACTGCTAACTGCTCACTCCCTTCTTATTCCTGATACCAGTAAGTGCTGTCTGCCACTGACCAGCTGTAACTGATGGCATGCAGATACCCTCTCTACAGCTTACCATTTTAAGAAGGTTTAATCATTTCAATGCTTGCAAATTACACCATGGAAACAAAAAAAAAAGTATAAATATAAAGCTAAATGAAATACAGCAGGGTCCTGAAAAAAAGGATTCAACCAACAGGTGGAGGCACAGCTCATTGTATACACACACACACACACACACACACACATTTATTTGATTTTAAACAATCCTAAACTATTTTTTATTTTGAATTATAACCGTTTCTAAATCTGTTTCCTCCACATGTCAGGTGTGTGCTGTCTCATTTGAGCAGTCTCCTCCACAGATAGTGAAGGAGAACACTGAGGTCCAGATCACCTGCAGACATGATGATAACGTCCGCTGATGCTCTGGTATCAGCAGAGAAACGACGGCCAGCCGCTGACCCTAATTGGGTTTGAAAATGGGAAAAGTACCCCAAGGTACGAGGGTCAATTTGTCGAACAATTCATGCTGAGGGGAGAGGACACAACGAGAGGAGCTCTGATTATACACAAAAACCTGTCACACTCTGCTTGTATTTCTGTGCTGTAACACTGTGATGTGGTTTGATGCCCATCCCTCACTAAAAACTGTGTCTCTTTCCTGTTCCAGAGATGTGAGTGTTTGCACTGGAGGTGGTGCCTCTATTAATACAAGCTCGTTATGAAGGAAGCTGTTTTTCTCCTGTGACTGCACACATTTAGAAATGTCTCCAGCTGCAGTCAGAGTTCTGCTCATCTTGATGATTTCATGTAATGTCATTAACTCCTGAACAGGAATTTCATTTGTATGATTTCAGGGAGGCTATCGTGACGTCAACTGCTACTAAACTGATGTGTTTCTCCCACAGATCGAGCGACAGGTGTGACGTTTCAGCAGTCTCATCCCAGAATAGTCATCAACACAGCCAGGATAGAAATTGGATGCAGCCATAATGATGCCAACCTCTACGTGATGCTCTGGTACCAGCAAACACAAAGCGGCCTGATGAATTTAATCGGTGACAGCTACCTTATCGGTGAACCCGACTATGAGAAGAAGTTCAAGGATCGGTTTGAGATTACAAGAAAAGATTTGACAACAGCAGCTCTGATTATTCCCAGTGTGACTCCATCAGACTCAGCTGTGTATTTCTGTGCTGCCAGTAACACAGTGATGTGGTTTAATATCAGCCCCTCACTAAAACCCTCCTTTGTTTGTTTCCTCTGTGACAGCTGGTAGAATCAGCACACACACATCTACATTACAGCTTAACAACAAGCTTTAATTAAATACATCTCGTGTCATTGTGTGGCTCTGAATTTTGTAATGATAGTTACGTAAAGTTACTTTTGTACCAGGGCTGCAAACAAGGATTGTCCTTATCAGAGGCCCAAGTTCAATCAAGAATATGTATTTTGTGCACACAACGTTATATCATGCCATTTTTTACTTTTTGGTACTTCAGGGGCTCCGTAGTTTTTAGTTCAGTAATGTTATAAATTATTCATACAAAAACATAACTACACATGCACGGATTAAAAAAAACACATATTAAAGGCTTTATATGATTTTTTGATCCAGCAGATGTCGCCCTTGAGCACCAGCATGAAACCAAAACAACTCACGCTGCATTGTTGTGTTAGCATGCTAATGCTAGCGATCTTTATTATGCTGGTATCTTCACACTGCATGTAAATTTAGCTGAAATGAGCGTGATCTAGAAACACAGTTAAGCAGTGAGTACAGTATGTTATTCTTCTTTTCTCTAGTCCCTCAATTAAACAACTTTTATACACGAGGGGAGGAGTCAGCCGGCCGTCCCGACGATGTAAACAAACTGAAGATAGGACTCTGAAAACTCTGAAAACATCACAGACAGTGGGACTCGGGTGTTACACCCATTGTAGACAGTCATGACTCACAGAGTTATTTTCAGAGGATATACTTGATTTATATTATATTTAAGTGTGAAAAATCACATAGAAAGACTTTAACCAAAAAGTAGTTTACATAACCGGATACTGTTCACTATAGATACAAAAGGACAGCATCCAATTTAAAGGTGCACTATGGAGATCTGGTAATTTAAAAGTTGGAGAAGTTAATTCATTCTGTGCTATATTTTCTGAACTAGATACACAAACTTTACTCCAACAAAAAATTTGTCCCTGGAAGACTGTTTGGAGCTAAAAAATCAACTGGGAGAGTTTATGTTTCACTGTTGTTTAACTGTTGAAGTGACCATTAATGTGACGGTTTGGATCAACCGTTGAAGTGACCGTTAACTTTCAAAACAATGCAGCTAACCGTCCTAAACAGTTAGCTCTACCACAGCAGTTGTTTCAGACTATTCAGTTGCTGTAAAACTATGAGGGACAAAAAATGACTAAAGTATAGATCAATAAATTCATTAATAAATAAATAAATGTTGGGAGAAATGCATACAATAATGTATAAATAAATAAATAATTAAATAAATACATCCATAAATATATCAATAAATATATAAATGCTGAAAACAATACATCAATGAATAAATAATAAATACACTTTGTTAATGAAAAAGGCTATTTATATATTTTTACATGTATTTATTCATTTATTAGCGTATTTCTACAGTTAATTATGTATCAATGCATACATTTCCACATTAATTGAGTTATTAATTTATTTCCGTGTTTTTACATTTACACATCTAGTTATTTCTGTGTCCAGGTCGTAAGAGGAAAAGTATATATGTAAATTTGCTTCTGTCTGTTTTTCAAAATTGACCAATCCTACTTCAGTAATGTTAGGACGGCCCACTTAATTTACATATTTACTTTTCCTTGTACAACATGGACACAGAAATACATAAATATATTTATTTATATATTATTTTATATGAATTGTTGCATTTATTTATATATATATATATATATATATATATATATATATATATGTTGATGCATTTATTTAATTATTTATTTATTTATACATTATTGTATGCATTTCTCCCAACATTTATTCATTTATTTATACTTTAGTCATTTTTTGTCCCTCATATAAAATGTCCACCAATGTCAAAAGAAAATATTCAAGCAATTAACCAACTAGCTAATTAAAACTATAAAAAAAATAAAGGAGTGAGTAACAATTGTTCACTGTTAGCTAGTCCAACCTTAGCCGCATAACTGTTAGCAGTTAGCAACCAATATCTTAGCCAAATATAGCTTAGCCCAGGACACAACACGATTAAAAGAAGGCAATTTATTACCTTGGAGGGATGAAGGTACAAAATCTGGAAGACTGAACAATTTGAAAAAGTATCAAATAGGAAAAAGTCGGAAAATAAAACTAAACTCAAGAGGATTAGCATTCTTTGCTAACAGTTTGAGTGCGGTTACGTTAACTGGTGACTTTTAGCCAAATGCGACAGTTAAGCGTTATTATGCTAAAATACCCGCTAAAAATGTCTTAAATTAAAAGAACATTACTTGTTTACTAACCACCTCCAACATTTGTTGTATCTTCGACGCACACAGAAGCTTTAAGCTGTTTTACATTTCTTTCTCCCCAGCAACCGTTTGACAGGGCTCGACCTCCGAACTCCTACCGGTCAGTGTACCGTGTGGGCGGGGCATCCTTGTAAAAAGCCCGCTCTACTCAATGCCGACCAATCACAGTCCACAGAGACTCAGCAGCAGATATTCATCCAATCACCGCAGTAAGAGGTTAAAATTAAACACACACAAACTGAAAGTGAAAACATCATCACAAATGTTAAAGAAGTATAACACAAAGAGGCAAAAATAATTTAATTAAATGACTTTAAAAACATTTTAATTATTTTCAATTCAACTGATATGAAGAAAAAAAAGATTAAGACCTTTTATGGTTTTTCTACTCGTAACATTAAAGAGTTTGATATATGAAAGGCATGGAGTCATGATGTTTGAAAGCATTTCTTTCTTCTTACACAGTGTTTAAAATATTTTTCAAATGAGTATAATGCCAAACTTTTATGGTTTTTGAATAAAAGTGCTGCAAAGAAAGCAGAGGCAAGCAGATTTTTTATTATCATCAAGATCAGCGATTATCAGAGGAGCTGAAGAGGAGGCGTGGTGGTGTGATGGAGATAATAAGAAAGTCCATGTTTGATGTGTCATCTGTTTGTCAGACATGAACAACATGACAATGCTCCTCCTAAATCTGAGTACAGACTGTAAAAGTCATTTGATCTGCAAATATGCATATATATATATATATATATGCATATATGCATATATGCATATATATATAAAAAAAAAAAAAAATCAAGGTTTTTTGGTACTTTTTATGCAAATATTTTCTAAATAGGACAGTGCACATAGTCAGAAATCAGGGAGAGAGAGTGAATGACATGCAGGAAATGAGCCACAGGTCGGATTCGAACCTATAGGCCACCCACTTGGAGGACCACAGCCCCTCGATAGGGCACGTACACTGATCACTAAGCTTCTGGCGCCCCCTATGAATTTACATTTAGTCATGGCTGTTGCACAGGTCTTAGTTTAAGTTGAGTTTCCAGGATGTGGCAGCTTTAATACACATTTGGACTTTTGCTGCTCAGTCTTACCATTCAAAGTTGATGTGACTTTTCTCTAACTGCTGTCTCTGTGATGAATTGATGCAAATATTGAATTCAAACTTTATCTCAACAATGACATTAACTGACTTTCTTCACAGGTAAAGTGGAGGGTGTTTCCCCTCTCGGGTTCTTACTGAAGGGACTGATGAGCTGACGACAACATGCACATATGATGCCAACTTATTCTCCAGGATGCTGTGGTACCAGCACAAACCAGGCAGCCGGTCTGTGATCCTTATTGGGAATCAGAGCCAGGTGTCTGTCCCATCTCAACTCCTCTGTTACCTTCAAAATCTGGTATTGGGACAACCACATGCAGAAGTGAGTGGATTGTTTTTATTTAGCAATTGTGACACCCCCAAGCTGCTCTTGGACCAAACCTGCAGAATTCACTTCCTCTCTGCTGACCCCTGTGCATCCTGTGCTTCAACACATCAAGGTAGAGTCAGACGGAGAGGACGTGGAGGACAAACCACTCATCAGTCACATCTGTCAGGGAGTGATCCTCTGTAAAAGTGTCTCCTGACAGTTTGTGTGAAGAGGTGTGACCAGCAGAGGCGTCCCTCCCTCTGAGCACTGATAATCTAACAAACATCAGTTTCCTCTCTTCCTTCCCTCAGCTTCTTTTCTTAGCTGTCACAGAAATAGCAGCAGCCAGCTCGTCGTCTCTCAGCAGAGCTGCACAGCTGCTCTCCCAGGCTCACCGAGATGGAGGCTGAGATACGGAGGAGCACAGAAACTAACACGCTGGAGGTTTTTGTATGATGCTTTCTCACCGTGGGGACAGGGAGCCACGGTGATACATTCCTATGGAGCCGCCGTACAAAAACCTCCTCCCATGAACACACAGTGAGCAGACTGCTGCGTGCTGCAGGAGAGCAGAAACACATGAAATCTGGAGGTGGACAAGAGGACAGGAGGCTTTAGCAGCACAGCGTGCATTCATATAGAGGAAACCTGCAGGAAAAGGTGTTTCTAACATCTTTAAGTTCACATGTTCACAGTCTGGATCTTTCTTTCTCTGCTCTTCAGAAACAACAACACTCATGTGAACTCTCTGAAGCTCATCCTGCATGTTTAAACCTCCTTCATCCTCTGGATCATCACTCTGAGCGACATCGTGCACATTCTGGGACCTTTTGTGACTTTTTGTTGGAGGAGACTTTCAGTGTGACACTGGAACTGAAGCTCACTTTGGAGAGGGAACACGACTCACAGTTCTGGGTAAGTTGGAGCTTTAATCACTGACGTTCACTTAAACAGACTTCAACTAGTGAACAAGTTGTTTTCAAGTCAAAGACAAAACATGTTGTAGTGAAGAGTCTGAATTATTGAGCTGAACAGAGACACTGTGAGCTACACTGAACCTGCTTACTTTGGCCCAGGAACCAAACTCTCAGTTTTAGGTAAATATTTCAGTGTTTCACTCTCTTATGATGGATTTCATGTTGCTGCAGAGACTCAGTATAGATGGAAATATGAGACAAAGCTTCTTACAGATTAGTGTGGCAGAGAAAGAAAGAAGAGTTTGATGCTCAGTGTTTCTGCACTGTGACAATGCTAACGAGGCGTACTTCGGCCCGGGGACTAAACTGACTGTTTTAGGTGAGTCTGGGATGATTCAGATGTTACAAATGTTTTAGGTAAGAGAAGCTTTCTGCAAACACAGTCTGCAGATCAAACTTACAGAGAGACACCAGGTCAAAGGTCAGTGTCAGCTCGGAGCTTTTTGACGTTAAGATTCAGCACTGTGTCAACAACGAGGCGTACTTCGGCCCGGGGACTAAACTGACTGTTTTAGGTGAGTCAGATCTTTATAAATGTACAAAGATAAACGTGATGAGACGTTCTCAGGATCCTGATATGTTTGGGTTATTATCAGTTCAGCTCAGAGCTTTTTGACATGAAGCTTCAGCGCTGTGCTAATTACGAAGCGTACTTCGGTGCAGGAACTAAACTGACTGTTCTCGGTGAGTAAGACTGTTGAATTCAGCTCATAAAAGAAGTTAAACCGAGTAAAAGTAGAGCCGTGTTTTGGTTTTTTGAAGAGGATCTTTGAGAGCTGCTTCCTTTGCATTGAAACATTTGTGAGATTTGAACTAGACGAGAGGAGGGAGCAGCGTCTGGTTTGTTTTGAGTCACAGACGACTTCACTGTGACTCTGGTTCTTCAGAGGCTCACTTTGGTGGAGGGACACGGGTCACTGTTTTAGGTAAGGAACTCATTCTTAACATGAACAGTCTGTGATGAAAGTCTGCAGAACAAACTCGTTCAGTGTCAGCTCGCAGCTTTTTGACATTCACCTTGAACGCTGTGTCAGTACGAAGCGTACTTCGGTGCAGGAACTAAACTGACTGTTCTCGGTGAGTAAAAGGACGTTTTGTTGAACTCTTCTCCTGAGACAGACGTTAGGATGCAAAAAGAGAAGACTGTTGTAGTGGAAAGATTTTTTAAAGGTAACTAAATGTGAAGAAGCAGAGTAGAGGCAGCGTCTCAAACGACTCTTAAAGACAAACATGTGACTCATAAGTTGATGAAATATTCACAAAATAACAAAGACATGAATAGATGTTTCAAAGATGGAGATAAGGGACGTAGAGGTTGACTAGCTGCAGGCTGTGAGGTCTTTATATGTGAAGAGGGAAACAGTTGGGATCATTTTAAGTAGAGCAGATAAAAAAGAAGCAGCAGAGAGAGTTTTTGTGAGGGTGGAAAGTCTCTGTGCTCCTACAGCGAGGCTTACTTTGGAGCTGGAACTAAACTCTCTGTTTTAGGTAAGAAAAGCCTCAAACAGAGCAGAACTCACTGGTTCTCTCCAGGTGTCCTCATTAAGATGCTTTAATAAGTGTACTGTTAGAGCTCGTGTGTGACCATGAACAGAGTCCTCTCTTTTTCAAACATGTGAAGGACTTTCTGCTCACTGTGTGTTCATGTCAAAAAAGCAGCATGGCGTTTTGTTCTGCTGTAAACGTTGAGAGCATAAATCAAACATTTGGCTGTGAGCCCGGATTATTCCTCTCACACAGAGTTCTTATCAGCTCTGTGAAACGCTGTGAGCTACCAGGCAGAGGCTCACTTTGGAGCGGGAACCAGACTCAGTGTTTTAGGTAAGACGACTAGAAACAGGACAGAATATATCATCAAGTCTGTAACTCCTCCAGGTCAGGGTCAAAGGTCGGATCTGATCTCATGCTCCTAAAGGATCTTAAATCAGAAGTTTAATGTCAGAGACGGCGTGCAGCTCAGAGGTCGAGGAGGTTTTTCTGCAGCTCTGTTTCAGTGTGAACTACGATCCTGCTTACTTTGGAGCTGGAACTAAACTCAGCGTTTTAGGTAAGAGCATCACAAAAACTACAGAATATATCATCCAACTAAAGTCTGTAACTGGTCCAGGTCAGGGTCAAAGGTCGGATCTGGATCTAATAGTCTGAGATGAACCTTAAATCAGAAGTTTAATGTCAGAGACGGCGTGCAGCTCAGAGGTCGAGCAGGTTTTTCTGCAGCTCTGTTTCAGTGTGAACTCCAACCAACCTGCTTACTTTGGAGCTGGAACTAAACTCAGCGTTTTAGGTAAGACGACTTAAAAACAACAGAATATATCATCCAACTAAAGTCTGTAACTGGTCCAGGTCAGGGTCAAAGGTCGGTTCTGATCTCATTCTCTTAAAAGGATCTTAAATTAAGAAGTTTGTGCAGCTCAGAGGTCGAGCAGTTTCTCTGCAGCTCTGTTTCAGTGTGAACAACCTCGATGCTGCTTACTTTGGAGCTGGAACTAAACTCAGCGTTTTAGGTAAGAAAATGACAAAAATAATCACACACACCTCGTGATGTTTTATTGAAACTTTAAGAGAACGATGTTTTAGTCAGGGTGGTTTAAAGATGTCTTATAATGTTTTGTTTCTTGATCTCCTGGAGCGCTCACGTCCTGCTGAGATAGTTTGCAGAAAAGCTACCAAAGAAAATGAACATGTAGATTTACATACTGTCAAATGTAGAACTTTATACTTTCTGCTCGGTATTTTCCTGTAAATTAACAAAACTACATTTACAACAATCATCCTGTAATCTGCTCTGGAACTGTCAGATCATTCATGCAGCATGTTTCTCTAAACGTTGAATCTTTCTGTTTGTTGGATCAGTACATTTTTAATCTCATCTTCTATGATCTCACATTAGTTGATGATACCGCTGCAGAGAGACACATTCAGAGCATGTGTTTAAAGAGAATCTCCAGGGTGCCTGTAGCGTAAACTTCTGATTTAAGTTTTTTTTTAAATAATGAGATCAGGATCAGCCTTTAACTCTGACCTCTGACCTCTGACCTGCTGGAGATGTTCAGAAGGATTGTTGTGGTCAAGCGTGCGAGAGGAGGAAGATGGAGGATCAATTCTTGAGTCTGAAGTCAAAATGTCACAAATGAAAGGTTGAAAATAAATATTTTCTTTAATACGTTCCAGGAAGAAGAAACTAAATGATATCAGGAAGGTTTCTCCAATCAGAGGCAGAGGAGATGAGATATTTTGACTTGAGGAATAAGAAAAGAGGGAGAGGAGGAAAACGTTTTCAACCACACGGTTAGAGAATAAAGTCTTGATATGAAGTGTGGCGTCAAAGCGTCAGAAATGAAGCTGAAATGTTACACAATAAAGAATCATAGTTGTTCTCCTGAAAGTTAAAACTTAGTCTCCAAATGCTAAACAACAAGAATCATCTTTTTCTTTTCAAAAAGAACTTCAACTTTATTTTACTCTCCTCTGCCTCGCCCTCGTGAGCGTCTGCACAGACGATAAAGAGAAGGTTAAACTCTCAGTATTTTATTCCTCACTCCAAAAAAGTGAGAGAAGAAATGTTTTTAAACTACAGAAACCAGTCCATGAGTTTGGTTCCTGTTGTGTAAAGAGACATGAAATCAGCTGTTAGTGGATCAGAGTCAGTTTTCCTGCTGTGTTCAGACTCTTCTCCTGCTTCTTTTGGAGACAGAACCAAACTAAAAGTCCTGGGTGAGAGCCACAAACTGAATATTCATGTAAAAATATGTTGATGTATAAATCCCTCTGAGTGTGAGATCTGCTCACTGTGAGCATCATGTTTGATTCAGAGTGATTCTGTGTCTTTCTGCACCCTGATGTTCACGTCCTCACTCGGCTCTGAAGACCTCAGACGCACACTGGAGCAGAGGTGTCAAAAGTATTGACATTGATTACTCAGGTAGAAGTATAGATACTAGGGTTTAAAAAGACTTCTGTAGAAGTTAAAGTATCAACTCAAGCTTTTTACTCAAAGTGTAAAAGTACTGGTTTCAAAACTACTTAAAGTATAAAAGTTAAAGTAATGTAAGGGGGAAAAAATGCCATTAAGGACAAAAGCTTAGGCCGCACCACAGCGTGTAGGAATGGTATATGTTTATACTTCTCATCCAACCACAATCAAATTCACTCTATCAGGACGGCGCGATTGATCTGGATAGGTTTTTGAAGGATGACAAGCCGGAGTGAAAACAAGCTGAAATGAAATAGGAGTAACAAGGCTATTTTTAAAATGTAAGGAGTAGAAGTAAAAAGTCTGCTGAAAAAGAATTACTCCAGTAAAGTATAGATACCCAAAATGTCTCTTAAGTAAGAGACACCTCTGCACTGGAGTGAGGTGTGACTCTTGAGGTTTGTTGTGGATCCGTCTGCAGCTTTAACTCGCTGATTTCTGTCCTCTGTGTTTTGCAGAAGAAGGACTTAAGGTCACTCCACCGACAGTCAGAGTTCTCCCAGCTTCTCCAAAGGAGTGTGGACACCAGAGTAAGACCATCGTTTGTGTGGCCAGTGGATTCTACCCGGATCATGTCAGCTTCTCCTGGACCGACAAAGAGGGCGAGGTCAGCTCAGGTGTGGCGACGGACAGCGAGGCCGTGCTGGAAGAAGGAAAGACCTACGTGATGAGCAGCAGGCTGAGGGTCTCTGCTGAAGAGTGGAACAATCCTGACAATGAATTCACCTGCACCGTCCGCTTCTTTGACGGGACAAAACGGTCCCTTACTCTGCTTCAGTTAAAGGAATAGAAGGTAATAATCTGATTCTTCATCTGTTAGAAAAACAAACACAGCGACATGTTTCCTCGTCTGATTCTCGTCTCTTTTCTCCTGACAGCTGAAAGAAAAACCATCACCAGAGGTAAACGTCTTACTACACTGTGATGATCATAGAACTCATATAAACTGAATGTTTCCTTCTTTAAATCTCATCTCCATGTTTGAACTCTTTCAGACAAATATCTGAAGGTCACGCAGAGCGCCAAACTGACGTACAGCGTGTTCATCGTGAAGAGCTGTTTCTACGGAGCGTTTGTAGCTTTTCTGCTGCTCAAGTTTCAGGTGAGCTCCAGTTTAAATCCTCTCCTCTGACCGCTTTGGGATCTGTGAGTTGAATAATAAAGACGTGGTGTTCTTTCTGTTTGTTCCAGGGGGCGAAGCAGAAGAACTGAGAGCAGAGCCGACGCCTCACAAGAGGATTCTGGGAAATCTGCTCAGTGTTCATGTCTGTGTATGAAGTTAGCAAACCTTTAATCTTCAAGCTACTTTTAAAATGATTGTTCTTCGGGGCGCCATATAGCCTAGCGGTCATGTTGCACGCCCCATGTACGGAGGTTGTGTCCTCGTCGCAGCGAGCGGCCGTGGGTTTGAATCCGACCTCTGACCTCCTCTCTCTTCAGCTGTTCTTTCTCATAAAAGCAAAAAGACCCAAAAAATATCTTTCTTTTTTTTTAAAGATCGTCCTTCACAGACGCTTCACTCTGAACGTCATCAAAGAAAATCACAACGATACCTTTAAAAACAGACGTGAAGAACGAGCTACGATCAGACCAGAGCTGCACACATGATCCATCTTATCACACTTCAGAGTTACAAAGATGTGTCGTGTTTTATTCTTTCTTTCTTTCTGTCCTTCTGTCACTGAAAACTTCACGTCTTTTCTTTCTGCTCTGTACGAGAATTATATTCAAATGTGTCATCTTTAATAAAGACTTATCAGACTTTACTTCAATTCTTTGACTGCTTGCTTCTTTTTTGTCTCGATGAAATGTTTAAAAAAATCAAGATTAAGATTCATTATTTAAATACAAAGGTTTATAATCGAGCTTCTTTATTTCTTTTTTCGTCTTCTGACTCCTCAAAGCTCTTTTACACTGCAGGTCACACCTACACATTCACACACTGATGGTAGAGGCTGCTGAGAGTCCATCAGTATTAACTCATCCATTCATACACATTCACACACTGATGGTAGAGGCCGCTGAGTAAAGAGTCCATCAGTATTAACTCATCCATTCATACACATTCACACACTGATGGTAGAGGCTGCTGAGTAAAGAGTCCATCAGTATTAACTCATCCATTCATACACATTCACACACTGATGGTAGAGGCTGCTGAGAGTCCATCAGGATTAACTCATCCATTCATACACATTCACACACTGATGATAAAGCAGTGGGAGCAACATGGGGTCAATCGCTTGCCCAAGGACACATCGTACATCACGTGAGTGACTTTATGAGATTTTCTTGAAACTTTGATAATTTATAAAAGTTGATTGAGTTTTTCTCAGAGAGGGGGATGTACGGTGGCCTTGGAGCAATAAAAATAAGAAGTTTAAAATGGAGAGAACATTTTTGTTTTTTAACAAGTGTTTTTTATGAAAGATAAAATAGAAAATTGAGATTCAAAACAAAACAAATAAAGAGAATGAAGGTTTTATGTGATTTATACCCAGCTGGCTCCAACATTTCCCGTCTCTCTCGAGCTGTTGCTCTTCTGGATCTCTGCAGTGTTAAAGTTGATCCACAAACAGGATGCAGAAATTAAAGTTTATTCAGGTCGGACACACGCACAGAAAAACTCCTACAGACTCAAATTCTTCCATCTAACAGAAGTTATTCAAACAGAGAAACTGTCTCTCCTCACAGCCTCTTCACACACAGAGACACAAATGATCAGAGACATGTCCTCCTACGTCTCCCAGGCCGCTCTACTGTTGACCAGAAGTAACAAACTAAAGACACTTTTAAAGATACTGACTCTACCTCTCGGCCTAAAAATCAACATTAATCAAACATGATCTATAACTCAGCAGGCTCTAAACCAGAACAAGTGGACAGATAAGTCGTACTTTCTCAGTCTTCTTGTCCTCGCTCTCACACCTCCTCCCACGCCGAGCATCTTTGTTTCCACAGTGGGAGGTATTTTTAGCTGCTCGCTTTATCTCCCTCTTTTCTCAGAAATCTGTTATTTCTCTCCCACATGATGCTGAAACACGTCAGCTCAGGAAACTTCAGGAGCTGATTTATTTGTATCATTTTCCATTCAGCTAACTGAGTCATGTGACCTGCAGTGACCTGCAGTGAGGGAGAGCTTGGCGTCCCTGCCTCGGTGTCTTTTTCATGTCTTTAATGTTTTGATGTGTTCTTAATGAGATTATTAATTCATTTGTGTTTTTTTCTCGACCCCATTAGTTGAGATTTCTCTCTCCTTTATGTCCTGATAGGTGGAACATCGAGCACTTTTCAATTTCTGTTTTGGTTTTAAATATTTCTCCTCCTCTTGTGTCTTGTTCCTTGTTACATCAATTTGTTAATCTGTGTGTCATGATGGATGTCAAGTTTGCTTGCTGTTAACAAATCTATCTACGAGTACAGATAAAGTCACCTGAACCTGAACCTTAGCCTAGACCTGGACCTGGACCTGGACCTGGACCTGGACCTTACATCCTCGTCTTTATTCCAACATCTGGTGCACAGTATTCAGATGTTTTTCTATTTTTAAACTTTGACCAAACAAAATAAGAATCTTATGACAGTTTACATTCTGATGAAGAGTTAAAAAAAAAAGTATTTCCATTGGTTCAAACTGGTTCAGTAAGAAGTACACGTGTGTGTATGTGTGTGTGTGTGTGTGTGTGAGCGTAGCACACAACAACAGGAAGTGTGAGCTGTGTCAGAGACGTGAAAGCTGCAGACGAGCAGAGAGGAGAGGATGTGGTCACAGAGCAGAGAGCACATCTCTCTGTGTGCTCACCACACACACCTGCAGCTACACACACACACACACACACACACACACACACACACACACACACACAGCTGCAAAACTTCCATTTCCATGTCAACTGAAGCTACAGAAGAAGGTCACAGTCTGTCGTGAGTTTGAATTCTCTCTGATCTGGTGCAAAGATCTGCAGCTCATGTTCTCATTCTGACATGAGGGTGTGTGTGTGTGTGTGTGTGTGTGTGTGTGTGTGTGTGTGTGTGTGTGTGTGTGTGTGTGTGTGTGTGTGTGTGTGTGTGTGTGTGTGTGGGCCCGGGCTTTCCTGACTATGAAATGACTCTTCTTTTCTTTGGGACAGGCAGCTTTAAGACGAGCCGTTAGCTCAGTAGTTTAAATGATACAGGAATGCAGGAAGGAGCTACAGGTCAGATTCTAACTCGGGCCGGGAATCCTTCATCCACTATGTCAGGACTATAAAATGTTTAATTAACTCCAGAATGAATATTTAGACTTACAGGGGAATTAGGTTCCACAGTCCACCCCGACCATGAATACATTTACAAACAAACATCAGATGAAGAACATCAGAAATAACAAACACACAGAGCTGGCACGCTGACCCCCTCGTGTGGTCTCTTTGGGTAATGACACCCACACGGGACAGATAAAAAGCTCGGTTTAAGGACAACAGTGATAAACTAATGAGTCAATAAATAAAGACAGGATATATATTTAACCCTGAGACAGTCACACTCTGGCGCCCCCCTGTGGTGCAGACTGGAACGTCAAGTCAAACAGGATTCACACAAAACACAGCAGCTTTTTATTTATTTATCAAAATATTGTTTTTTTATTATCAAATAATTACAATAAAAAAATTAAAAAACAGCCCAGAGATGAAACCCAACACTTCATCAGTGAAATGTCAGAGAGTCGTTTAAAAAAAGCGAGAGAGGGAGAGAGACAGAGAGGAGAGACAGAGAGAGAGAGAGAGAGAGAGAGAGACAGAGAGGGAGAGACAGAGAGAGAGAGAGAGAGAGCGAGAGACAGAGAGAGAGAGACAGAGAGAGACAGAGAGAGAGAGAGAGACAGAGAGAGAGAGAGAGAGACAGAGAGAGAGAGAGAGAGAGCGAGAGACAGAGAGAGAGAGACAGAGAGAGACAGAGAGAGAGAGAGAGAGACAGAGAGAGACAGAGAGAGAGACAGAGACAGAGAGACAGAGAGAGAGAGAGAGACAGAGAGACAGAGAGACAGAGAGAGAGAGAGAGAGAGACAGAGAGAGAGAGAGAGAGGGAGAGATGATTCTCTTGAGAACAGAGAACAGGGTCAGCAGGTTAATAAGTTATGTTCAGGACGTCTCGGAGGTTTCATCACAGTCAGCTGGTGTTGACAGCAGGTCAGGTTCTATGTTTTTATATTCAGTGTACAAACAGACTCCTGCTTCACAGATTCATCTACAGTCATCGGTCCCTTTGTCATTCCTTTATGAATCCTGATTCTGCACAAACGGGTCAGATGTCCGGGGTCTCCAGTCTTTTTGGCGATCGCAGTAGTTCAGAGTTCAAAGTGTTTTTGTTTTTTTTAAGAATGCAGTCCTCCAAACGGCTTCACCTCCAGAGTCTTTCAAAACAACAACAACAACAACGTCGTCAGCTTTATCCGAGTCGGCCGAACCTTTTGTTCCTCTGTGAGTGCCGGGTGCAGCTGGCGCAGCAGAAACTGGAGTAGTACGAGTTGGAGCAGAGCCGGGCGTAAACGATCAGCTCACAGTTGGCGAGCTCGGGCTGGTCGACGCACTCTGGAGGAACATCACCGCCTGAGACAGAAAAGAAAGACGATTATTGACTTTCTTTGTTTTTGCATAAAATCAGTTTAAATAAAATCCACTGAGAAGCCGGACCCTGGAGTGGAGTGCTGTGCTTTGGTCGTTCTCTATTTCAGCCCTGCTCAGAACAGGCTGTTTCTGTGTCTGTACCTTTAAATATGTAAATGAGCTGTGTCTGACCACGCCCCCTCTCTGGAAGGGCTTGGGTGTACTCGGTCTTTCTCGCTCCATGTCCTATTGTTTACGGTGAGAAGGCAGACTCAGAGGGCAGAACAAACACCTAGCTGTGGGAGTGTCACCCACCTGGGGGAGGGGCTACTGCCCTTTGTGATGTCATGAAGGGAAAATCTCCAAACGGCCTGTTTGAGCACACATTTTCTGAAAAGTGGAGCAGGCAGAAGACAGAGAGGATGGACTTTTCTCATCATAGGGGGGTTTGTAGACGGACTAGAGACACATGTTATAGTTAGAGGAACATGGAGAAGAGGATTTTAAAATCCTTCCCCGGGGATTTTGGTGTAAGCGTTCGCTAAAAGAAGCTCGCCGTGTTTTTCTCACCTTGTGTGTCTTTAGTGACTCTGACTTCGGCCGTGGCGCTCACAGAGTAGATGCCGGTGTAAGCGTTACACGTGTACGTCCCCTCGTCTGAAGGCTTCACGTTGTTCAGGATCAGGCTGCCGTCAGACGACGTCAGGATTTTACGACCGTCCGGACGCACCGGGACGCCGTTTCTGCAGGAAAGACAGGAGAGAGTAAAACTGTGATGTTCCATGAGCTCTGTAACGGCATCTCGTGTGAAAACAGAAGCTGCTTATGTCTTTGTTTTAATATTTTTCTCTCGGGGTCTGATTCACTAAACGCACGCCGTACTGCGCTGTACAGCTAACGGTGACTCTTTGCACGCTTAAAAAGACATTAAGAGGCAAAACAAGAGCAGGGAGCAGGACGTGATTGAGCCTGAACGTGATCAGCGCTGGAGCAAATGATGCACTCTTTTTTGGCGCCATTAGCTGCCTCAATCCATGAATCACACCCGTACTTTAGGATGGTCGTTGTGTGTCATCCCCCCCAACACCACCGCCCAGCTACAGCGCCATCCTGTGGGAAACACTGATCACTCTTCTAACAGTTAAAGCTCAAGTTCCTTCTTTCAGATTATTCTGTTACCAAAAGCACCGACCCACCTCCTGGTCTAACAGGATCCATGCTTGAAGGGGTCGTGATCTTTTACCTGGACCAGCCGATGTTGACGTTGTCTCCTGACACCACGCAGGGCAGCAGAGCTGTGCTGCCTTCAGACACCTGGATGTTATTTGGAGCGGTGGTGATCTTCAGGTCGGCTGGAGGATCAAAACAGAGAGAAACACACTTTAAACACTCACACTGCTCCTCGATGTCCTGCAGAGAGAATCTCCTGAAACAACAGGAATACTGACCTCTGCTGGTGAGAGGGAGACATGACAGTATAAACAGATATCTGCAGTGAACTGAAACAGTCCTGATAGCAGTGTTGTAGTCGAGCCATTAAACTTTAAGTGTTAGTCAAATCTCAAATCTCAAGTTACCAAAGAAGAGTCCGAGTCCTTCAGGTGGAGTCTGAGTGTTAACCGTCAGTTCTCCTTCAGCTCATTCATTTAACGATTTAAAGAAGTCAAAGCTTCTGACCTTAAAGTCTTTATATGTGATTTTTCATACTTAAATGTAGAAATCAAGTATATCCTCTGAAAATAACTCTGTGAGTCATGACTGTCTACAATGGGTGTAACACCCGAGTCCCACTGTCTGTGATGTTTTCAGAGTTTTCAGAGTCCTATCTTCACTTTGTTTACATCGTCGGGACGGCCGGCTGACTCCTCCCCTGTGTATAAAAGTTGTTTAATTGAGGGGACTAGAAAAAGAAGAATAACATACTGTACTCACTGCTTAACTGTGTTTCTAGATCACGCTCATTTCAGGTAAATTTACATGCAGTGTGAAGATACCAGCATAATAAAGATCGCTAGCATTAGCATGCTAACACAACAATGCAGCGCCAGTTGTTTTGGTTTCATGCTGGTGCTCAAGGGCGACATCTGCTGGATCAAAACATCACATATAAAGCCTTTAACCTCTCTGTACTCTGGGAGTCTTTGATCATCATAAATAAAAAGTTGATCTCAGCTCTGATGGAGTTCAGGGTTGATAAAGAAGAGCTGTTTGACCGTCTGAACCTCCACTGACCGTGTGGGAAACTTTTCATTTATTAACGTCAGACTCTGAACGATCCCGTCAGCGTGACTGGAGTTTTAAATTATTATTAAAGTTACAGCGCTGTGCGTCGAGTTTAAATGTGCACCGCTCAGTAACGAGG